AAACGAATGCGTGTTTTTAGTCATTTTTCTAATGAAGAAATTTCCTTCATGCTGAGCATCCTATTCTTCATGTTCTCTAAGCATCCCAGCATTCATGCTGTCTAAACATCTCAGCCTTCATGCTGTCTAAACATCCCAGTCTTCATGCTGTCTAAACATCCTAGCCTTCATGCTGCCTAAACTTCCCAGTCTTCATGCTGTCTAAACATCCCAGTCTTCATGCTGTCTAAACATCCTAGCCTTCATGCTGCCTAAACTTCCCAGTCTTCATGCTGTCTAAACATCCCAGCCTTCATGCTGCCTAAACTTCCCAGTCTTCATGCTGTCTAAACTTCCCAGTCTTCATGCTGTCTAAACATCTCAGCCTTCATGCTGCCTCAACATCCCATTCTTCATGCTGTCTAAACATCCCAGCCTTCATGCTGCCTAAACTTCCCAGTCTTCATGCTGTCTAAACTTCCCAGTCTTCATGCTGTCTAAACATCTCAGCCTTCATGCTGCCTCAACATCCCATTCTTCATGCTGTCTAAACTTCCCAGCCTTCATGCTGTCTAAACATCCCAGCCTTCATGCTGTCTAAACATCCCAGCCTTCATGCTGTCTAAACATCCCAGCCTTCATGCTGTCTAAACATCCCAGCCTTCATGCTACCTAAACTTCCCAGTTTTCATGCTGTCTAAACATCCTAGCCTTCATGCTGTCTAAACATCCCAGCCTTCATACTGTCTAAACATCCCAGCCTTCATGCTACCTAAACTTCCCAGTCTTCATGCTGTCTAAACATCCTAGCCTTCATGCTGTCTAAACATCCCAGCCTTCATACTGTCTAAACATCCAGCCTTCAGCTACCTAAAACTTCCCAGTCTTCATGCTGTCTAAATATCCTAGCCTTCATGCTGTCTAAACATCCCAGCCTTCATACTGTCTAAACATCCCAGCCTTCATGCTGCCTAAACTTTCCAGTCTTCATGCTGTCTAAACATCCTAGCCTTCATGCTGTCTAAACTTCCCAGTCTTCATGTTGTCTAAACATCCCAGCCTTCGTGCTATCTTAGTGAAATTGTAGCTTCGAGTTAAGCCACATTCTACAGTTACTCTTCCCAACCATCCATATTAGAAACTCACATTAAATTACTCTCACAGAATATATAAAATATCCCAAGTAATATGCCAGCAATCTATCAAACCAGTAGAAATAATATAAAGTATCATTCGCTTACTATTCTATTCTAATGATTTAACAATTCCCGTAATCCACCAGCATTACCAAAAGATCTCGTGTGTCAACCAGTCCCTGGGAGAGGAGACATAAATTCCATAATCTTTTTCAATTTACAATAAAACCACTCACAATTACGAGGGTGAATGGTTTGCCTACGCTTGCCTTTTTACAAATTTTATAATAGTTTTGTATCTACATCCTAGATAGATGTTTAAACTCTAATCCATTCAGAGTATTTTCATGCAAATAATACTGCTCACAAATTTATTTTTATCATACACAATCAATTTACTATGATACATATAGCTATCAGATAAAGGTATAGCTGATACTTAAATGTATCATAGAAATACGTGTAATACTGTCAAACAGTCATTAAGTCTTGGCTTCTGCCATCCACCAGGGTATGGTTCATAAATCTGAAAAGTATATATCATGTTTGCATTCATATGCCATTGTACATTGTGCAATTTTCTTATAGATAGTAGGAAATTCATGTCATGCCAGTAACCTCTATACTCATGATAATTAAATACCGGTGAGAAAGTATTTATAATATTTATATACTAGTGAGAGAGTTGTGTGGCACGAAGTTACACCTGCAGATTTATGCACATCAGTCAACTGTATTTAGAATTTCGGGTACAAAGCATCTGTACTGCTTCACTTCTCTTGATAACTATTAAAATATAGTGTTTCAGTTCTCTCGGTAACTGTGACTGAATGTACTATTTCAGTTCTCTTGGTAACTGTGACTGAATATACTATTTCAGTTCTCTTGGTAACTGTGGCTGAATATACTGTTTCAGTTCTCTTGGTAACTGTGACTGAATATACTATTTCAGTTCTCTTGGTAACTGTGACTGAATGTATTGTTTCAGTTCTCTTGGTAACTGTGACTGAATATACTGTTTCAGCTCTCTTGATAACTGTGACAATGTACTGTTTCAGTTCTCTTGGTAACTGTGACTGAATATACTGTTTCAGTTCTCTTAGTAACTGTGAATGTATTGTTTCAGTTCTCTTGGTAACTGTGATTGTATGTACTGTTTCAGTTCTCTTGGTAACTGTGACAATGTACTGTTTCAGTTCTCTTGGTAACTATGACTGAATGTACTGTTTCAGTTCTCTTGGTAACTGTGACTGAATATACTGTTTCAGTTCTCTTAGTAACTGTGACTGAATGCAGTGTTTCAGTTCTCTTTGTAACTATGATTGTATGTACTGGTTTACTTCTCTTGGCAAGTACCAGAAACTTGATTATGTTAGAAACAGTGACTGCAGGTACTATCTTGACCACAGTGGCTGCGTGTCCTGCTACTCCAGCTGTTTCCTGCCAAAGAAGTTGTTTTTACATTAAATCAGGCTGGTATTGGAAACAAGTGGATAGGCCTTGGAGTAGTCACTATGCACTAGCGCCAAAAACCAGTATTTATTGCCGGCGATTTATTTTAAACTTGCTGGCAAGTGACCTCTTCGTTTATGTAATTATTCCAATCGTTTATATCTTGATCATTAGTTTTCTCATTATATATATTCTAAAAGTTCGTTGTAAAGTATTAGAAAGGTCTCGTCTTTTTAAAAAAGATAGGAAGTATACAGGTCAAGTCAATTAATAATTATTATTTTAATAGATTCATGACTGATACTAGTTGATCAGCAGGAACTTATCTTGTTGTAGCTAATATTTAACTGTATTCATTGGGGGGGGCCAAATCCATCGCCTGCGAGGGTCAGGTAATCAGGTTTCATTTCGAGGAAGGTAGGATCGCTCCGTTCTCTGAGATCAGCAGCTATACAGTTTACCTCACTATTTTAATATTATAACGTATTGATACTACCTAATATAGCTACCCTCGTATTATATTCTCAATGTATTTCCCGTGTTCCTATTATCCACCTCTCGACCAGTCTGCCAATGTCCACCCCATCATCTCAGTATTTTGTACGTTATCATGTCACTCCTGGTACTTCTCTCCTCTAAAGTCAATAGGTTCAGCTCCTCTATTCACTCTTCATAGCTCATACCACTGATCTCCCATGTTAGCCTCACTGCAAAAGTCTGCATTGTTTTTCCAGTTTCTTGACATGAACGATAAAATGTGGGTTCCATCTTGGTGTTGCAGACCCCAAGATGTACCTGATATATACGCAATGTCGTCAACGACTCTGTTGAGGTTCCTGAAAGCTAATCTTATGCTTGTCAGACGTGCCTTCGTTGCAGATATTATTCGGGTGATGTGCACTTCTTGCGATATACATGGTACTATGCTCACCCAGAAATGTTCAGAGCTCTATTTCTTATCAAGAAGTTCCGATCACTACTGTGATGAGCGACTTAACAGTTAAATGCAGTGATATGCATGCGTCAGTCTCTTGTTAATTACTTGCCCACTATCCATAGTAAGGATCGGCAGTGCATATCTTTTGACCGCGTCCGTATCTCTCGCGTGGAAAACATCTCTAGGGAAAAAACATCCAGTGCAAATGTAGTCAGGGTGAGTCGCAGTCGCTTTACCGAAGGTTAGTCAAACTATGGGAATCTGGTTCAATTTTAACAAACTTTGTGATGCAACGTGCACCAGTAATTTCCATGTCCACCAGACAAGTCCTCTGCAAGCATTCATGTTGAATGTACTGAAGTCTTTATATCGCAGCAGTGAAGTTTTAGTTTCGGCAAATCTTTGATATAATTAGCAGTCTGTAAAATAATAGTAATTGATTAATAGCTTCCAACAAGAAATTAATTATACTTTACTATAAGCACCGTAGCAGAAAACGACCACTGATTTTATGATGAAGTAAATGCTTCAAAAAGCTCGAATATATTTTTTGTGCCCTTATTAATGTAAATATCTTTATTAAAAATTATTAC